CAGACAACCATATGGTAATTACCATAGGGAAAAGGGGTGGAGGAGGTAGAAGAGAGTATAAATGGGGGCTAAGTAGTGATGAAAGGAAATTTAATGTGTGTGGGGGGGAGGTTTAAACACAATATACTGATGTGTTATAATTGTACACACAAGACCTATATAACTTTATTAACCCATGTCACCCTAATGAATTCAATTTAAAGAAATTTAAGCCTGAAATGATGGTGCTATGAAGGAAACTAAAGCATAGCAGGGTGACAGAACATGCAAAAATCTGTGTTAGTTTCCTGTTGCTGCTGTAATAAATTAACCTTTTTGGTTACTGCTTAAAACAGACTTACTATCCCACAGTTGTGTAGAAGTCCCAGGTGGGACTAAAATCAAGGTATTGGCAGGCTGACTTCCTTCTGGAGGCTCTAGGGAAGACCATTTCCTTCATTTTTCCAGGTTCTAGAGGCACCTTCCTCTATCTTCCAGTCAGCAGCACTGCACCACTCCAACCATTCTTCCCAGTCACACCTCCTGACCTCAACCTGGCAAAATTCTCTGCTTTTAAGGCCCCATGCAATTATCTCAGGCCCACTCAGATACCCAGATAATCTCCCCATCTCGAGGGTCTCAACATAGTGATGGCCACAAAGTCCCTTTTGCCATGTAAGATCCCCGGGATTAAAAATGTAAACACCTTGCAGGGGGCAGAGGGGGCATTATACGGCCTACACAGTAAATGAACAAATGAGTGATCAATTGTCATATGCTGATATGTTAAAAAAAAAAAATCAATTAAAAAAAAAATCAATTAAAAAAAAAAAAAGACCTAAGGATTGAGAACTGGCCATTGAATTAAGTACCATGGAGGTCATGGTGACCTTTATATAGGCAGTTTCTGTGGAGTCAATATTCTCATTCAAAGTGGGTTCAAAAGAGAAAAGCAGGCCGAAACCGGTTTGGCTCAGTGGTAGAGCGTCAGTCTGTGGACTGAGGGGTCCGGGGTTCGATTCTGGTCAGGGGCATCCCTGGTGGGGGGTGTGCGGGAGGCAGCTGGTCGGTGCTTCTCTCTCATCGACATTTCTAGCTCTCTTTCTCCCTTCCTCTCTGTAAAAAAAAATCAATAAAAAAAAAATTTTTTTTTAAAGAGAAAAGCAGAGTGGATAACGGAGTTTTGATATAAAGAAAAAGGGGATGGTATCTAAAGAATGGGTGTGGGTCAAACATGGAATAAATAGCATGTTTATAGACTGACCTAGTAGAGGGAAATTAACAGAAGGGCTAAATCTGGGCCCAATGACTAAGAGGGGGTTGGAATCTAATACAAGTAGAAGAGCTTGCCCTACAATTGGAGGAAAGGCAGAGCATGCAAGCAAATATAAATGGGTGAGTAGATGTGATAATAGGAACCTGTGGACATTTTCTTGTTTCTATTTTTTTTTTTTTTTTAATGTCAAAAGCTGAGACAAAGTGGGAAAGTGTAAGCTTTCAAGGAGCATGAAAATATAAGACAGAGAAATGTAGTAGGGTTGGCAGATGGTACAAAGGTCTACTTAACTTAAACACAGAGGTCATGACCTGGCCTGTTTGGCTAAGTGGATAGAGCATCAGCCTGTAGACTTAAAGAGTCCCAGGTTTAATTCCAGTCAAGGGCATATGCCTGGTTTGTGGGCTCAATCCCCAGTAGGGGGCATGCAGAAGGCAATCAATCAATGATTCTCATCATTGATGTTTCTCTCTCCCCCTTTCCCTCCTTCCTCTCTGAAATCAATAAAATAAAAATAAAAAATAAACACAGAGGTCATGACTTTAGCCAGCAAATTCAATTGCAAAGTGCATAAGTGGCATGCTAAACTTAACCAAAAAGGGAGTTGAGCCAGGCAAGTCCATATAATGAAACGAGATGGAGCAATCTGTGTAGCCAAGTGACTGTACCTAACCATGGGACACTGAATCTAAGCTAGATAATGCACATGAACTGGAAAATTAAAAACAAATGAATGGGTCAATGAATTATGTCACACAGTACTTGTCATCACTCACTCTGTTTATGTCTGCATGGCTAACTCCTCTTGTAGATGGGTATTTCAAAGTGGCATCAGTGTCTTTTATTTTCATTCTTGGTACTTGAACATGTAGTTTGTTACCTAAATGGATGGGTGAAATGCTTATCAATGGTTTAAGGGAAATTGCCTACCTCCAATCCTATGACATATAGGTTTTCTCCTCCCTCAGTTTTTTAAGAGTGCAAGCTGCAACGCTTCATCAAAACCTATGGTATAGCCGAAACCGGTTTGGCTCAGCGGTAGAGCATCGCTCTGTGGACTGAAAGGTCCCAGGTTCAATTCCGGTCAAGGGCATGTACATTGGTTGGGGGCACATCCCCAGTAGGGGGTGTGCAAGAGGCAGCTCGTCGATGTTTCTCTCTCATCGACATTTCTAACTCTCTCTCTCCCTCCCTTCCTCTCTGTAAAAAATCAATAAAATATATTTTTTAAAAAACCTATGGTATAAAGAAAGTCCTTTGGAATGAGACAAGATGCTGAATTCCTCCAGTGTTGTGCCCAAGAACTGAACCAGAAAATGTAGATGTATGCCCTTATTGAAACCTGGTGGCATGAAATCTTTGAACTTCCCAACCTGTATTTCACCTCTCTGCAGAAATTAGCAGGACCTAAAGCAGACCTTAAGAATACCAAGTTTTCCAGGGAAGCAAATGAAACTCAACCTGGAGTGAGAACAAACGCACAAAGAGCATGTAAAATATGTTTATTGTTCTTTAAAAGGGTTCAGGGTTTGGTTTTAAATCAGGCTGCACACCTTTCATCAGTCTGACATCTCTCTCACAATGTCAAACTGGCTTCAGCTAGCAATACTTCATTAAGTCCAAAAGATAAAATTAATTTTTGAGGAAGAAAATCCAGTTCTGAGAACAATTAACATTAGTCTGCAATTTAAAATAAAATGAGGGCTAATGTTTCATGTTGTTTTACACACTCTTCTCCTCATACAGAACCAGGAATGTAATTTTCCTAACTCAGGCAGGCACTGATACCGGTGGACACTACACACACACACACACACACACACACACACACACGCACACAACTCACACGCACAGACACACACACACACACACACACACACACACACACACCTGTTTTTCTGTTTCTCCCTGTCTCCCCTTCCCCCAAAAACAACAAAAATCAGAGCATGTCAAAGGAAAAAGGTTTGGTATGATATTGATCAAAACCCTTGGAGTCAACAGTCTATCTGAGCTTAGAGAATATTCTGTTTTGATCTTGAGCCTATATTAAAGGAATCTATTGTCATGTTCTGAAATAAAGAATTTTGGATAGGACCATCATTTTCCACTTTAAAATTCTAGAAACAATTCCAAAAAGCATTATTTAGTTTTGTTTTGTGGGATGGGGAAGAGAGCATCTACAGATTTTCATTTAAAGAGCTCAAACAACTCCAGAATAGGAGATAGGCAGTTCACAGCGCCAGCCAGCATCTGAGGTATCACCAACGACAAAATCCCGGTCCATTCCTACTGGCACAGCTGATCCTAACAAAATGGGAAGTTTTTGGCTCTGTATAGCAAATTCCAGCAGGACAAGATGACCTTTATTCAAATTCTTAAAAGCAGAGCATTAGGAAGTGTGTAATATTTAAATAAAGAGTGCAAAAGGCTCTGATGGTGTCCTTTAACTTGCTTTGTCAATACACCCTGGTCACAATTGCCTTGCACAAAAGAGCACATTTCTAGATCAGCACATTGAACCCCACAAAGAATGGGTAAAAATGACACTACACCAATTTCACTAGCAACACAGTCCCTTTGCTACTGGTTGGGCTGCTTTACATCTCTCTCCTACCCTGTTAGGCCTGTAGACACATACTCACTAGGCATTGTTGGTTTTATCTCATAAAGAACCTAGTAAGAAAATAACAAGGCAATCAGTGGTTAAACTGAACTGTACATATATGGGGCAGTTTGGAAAATATCCATAACAGGCATTTTCTCAAGTCCAAAATATTGTGTTTTTGCTGCTATCCCACTACCTGTTCCTGAAAATTCAGAATACAAATAAGTCCTAAAATAAACATTTTTAACTATCAGCATTCTCTGACATCATTAGACAGAAAAGCAGAGTAATGCTACATACAGCCCACAGTTCTACAAGGTGTAGAAAGTGTGCTAACTCTATCTGGACACATCTTTAGTGATGAACTGGAGTACTCCCCTTCAGAAAACAAACATTTCTGGAATACCCACTTAGCTTCATTGGTTGGAAAGAGAAGAATTTGACTCTCAGCTAAGTTCTTTGAAAAAAAAGAGACTCCTCTTAAAATGCCATGTCCCCACTAACTTAACAAAACAAAAACTCAAACCAAAGGCTCTTGGCTATTTTGCCTAATGTTGTATAGAGTTTTCAAGGAAAGAAACTAACATGAACACCCATCATCAGTAAAAACTAAAAATCACCTGGATCATATAATATATATATGCCACTGCCTTTTTTTTAATTTTTTTTTTTTTTTATGTTTTCTGTTTTTTTCTAAAAGTGCCCAGGTGGGCTTAAGGCTGCCAGACTGCACGCACATATACAGCAACAAGGGCTTCTCTTATTCCATCTACAACTAGTATCAGGGGAAAAGAGGGATAGGGAAAAGGAGAGAAGAGAGAAAAATTGTAGCCCCCACCCCTTAACCCAAAACAAAAAAACAAAAAACAAAAAAAGAAAGAAAGAAAGACAGAAAGAAAGAAAGAGAAAAGAAAGAAATTCCACAACTGGGAGATAAATCTATGTGCCAAGCATAATGGAAGAGTGTGCTCCCCAGAGAGAAGATTCTGCACAGACCAATGTTCTGCTGGTTTTCCTTAGAGACCTATTTTGAAAAAGTGTAAAAAGACAGATTTTGAAATAATCCAATCCTGGCGGAAATCAAGCGCCAACACTGAGGGCAGAGCCATTCTCCACTGAAGCGATCCCTGTTCTCTTCACCTTTTGCTTTTCTTAAACATTTCATTCCTGTTACAGAGGGATCTGTTTTTGTTTTGTTTTGTTTTTGTTTTCCAATCATTAGAGTGGTTGAGGAGTACTGAATCCATCACCACTTTGATGACACAGTCAAGATTCCAGATTCACATTTCCAGGTACCAAGAGTTCCCTCTAAATGCCACAATCAAGTCAGCCTTCGTTTATATTTCTTTCTACTGAACACAGCAATGCCCATTGGTATCTCTGAAGCGTAATCGCATCTTAGGTCGGTATTTCTCCAGGTAAAGCAGCTGTTTGGAATTGAATGCTCCCCTTCTTTTTCTGAAAATACAAGAATGGCAAACTTTATAGTGTACAAAAAAGAGCTGCCTCAGTCACAGAAATGCATTATTTATGGCCTATGGCCATTCTAACACCACAAAGCCGAAAATCAACATTTCCCATACAACATCACTTCTTAAGTTTAAGTAAGAACTTTCTGTGCCTTCTGAGTAAAAGGAATAGACAAATCTTCTTTGCTGACTCTTACTACTCTGTTAACCATTTAATAAACATCAGAATGATTTATCCAGAGATACCTAACTATACTCTTTACCAATTAGCTTAACATAATCTTCAGATTAGAATTGGTAGCAAGTATTTAGGATGCATGAATTTACAAGAAGCAGAAGGCACAGATGGTATTTCTTGAAATATGTTACCTTCCTAGAGCTGTTACCATTCATTTCATGCCATCATTAACAATCCTTTTTCGTTCTTTTCTTTCTCCTCTTTTTTAAAGAAAAGAGGACAGACTAAGAAAATAAATGCCAAAAAATTCTGGACAGCAAAATATCATGGCCTATCACTCCAGACTGAGGCCAAGATTCTGTCTTGGCACTACCATCTTGATTTTATGCCTGAACAGGTCACTTATGAGTGCCAGGTGAGTAACTGCTCCTCTACAGATTCTGGTTTGCCTTTTGGTCATAGAAATTGCATTTTAAAGATATTTTGGACATCTATTAAGAGAGACACAAGATCACTCTTCTACCTAGCTATTCATTTTAAAGATGCCTAGATATTCAAGTCATATACTGGACATATTCTACAATGTCCGTATTTGCTGCCTAAATTAGATATCCTTTAAATCTGGGAGCCAGTAGTTTTACGAGTCTCTTTATCACTAGCTTTTTGTGATAATCAATCTTCAAACAAACAACATTTTAAAGCCAAAGACAGCAAGTTATTCCAGACTAGAAATGATATTTTCCATAATTCCTTCCTCTTGTATAATCTTGCTTTATATATTTCTGAATATAAAATTTCATACTCACTGTCTTATAAACTGAACTGCATCTTCATACTTCATTCCACATTCAATCAAAGCAAGTGCAACCAGCACAGGTGCCCTGCAGAAAGAAACTCAATTGTAAACACCCACACATCTTTATAATTAATTTATTTTTATTTTATTTTATTTGAATATATATTTTATTGATTTTTTTACGGAGAAGAAGGGAGAGATATAGAGATCTAGAAACATCAATGAGAGAGACATCAATCAGCTGCCTCCTGCACACCCCCTACTGGAGATGTACCTGCAACCAATGTACATGCCCTTGACCAGAATCGAACCTGGGACCTTTTGGTCCACAGATCGAAGCTCTATCCACTGAGCTAAACCGGTTTTGGCTAGATTCTTTTTTTTTTTTTTTTTTTAAATCCAGATTACATGTTACCAAAACTGTCTTTGATTGTTACAAATCAATTTTAGTATCATTTCCTTATCAATTACTAAAATAATGCTACACTTCCAACAAAATCCTTTTCATGAGCTAGGAGAGAGGGTCAGAAAATTGATAATTAGGATGTCTCAATATAAGTATGTATTTTTTAATGTAACAAAGGAAATTAAGTTGTTGTTTTTTTAAAGTCCATTACAGGGCACTGACTTTAGACTACCTAAATTAACCCAAGTCAAATTAATAATACTACCTTTGCTCTTCAAGATAAGAACTGAAACTTAGAAACTTTACTAAGCTATAAAAAAAAAAAAAAAAAAGGAAAACAACAAACAAAAGGACTAAGCAGAGGTAAGGACCTGAGTCACCACTGCCTGCACTAATGTTCTGAGTCAAAGTACACATCATAAATTGGCCTTTAACCTTCTGTTGATGAGAGTGTTGCAACACCATTCCAAGCAATGCTCAAGGAAAAAGGTTTTTTAAAAAAATCAAAATCACTTTCATTCTCCATTAAACTCCACATCTCCTTTCAGGAGTTTAAAGTTCAGCCATCTGCTCTCCACCTTCTAACTTCCCACACATCTCAATCCCAAATTACACATGTACATATTTTTTTAATGTTACTGCACATTTCAAAGACCTGAACCTCTGGTTACTTGATACAGCAAGAAAACTGAATTAAGAGTATATTTTTAGCTCAAAGATTAGACAATTACATTAAGTCATTTTCAGAACTGAACCATACCCACTAAATCTAGTATGGCATCAGAATCAGACAACCAATGAAACACAAAAGCAGCTTTTGTTCCCATTTCCTTTCCTTTCCGGCAATTAAATATTTAGTGTAATAAATGAAAATTTCTACCCAAGTAAAATATTTTATAATGAATTCACAGACGAAAGGGTAAGACCTTACCTTCCCAATCCTGCAACACAATGCACTGCAACACAGCAACCTGGTTCTTCACGAAATTTGGTTTTTAACAGGTTTAGCCAATCATCCACTATCTGATTAGGGGGTGGCGCACCATCATCAAATGGCCAATCCTGGAAAGAAAAAAATCTTGTACATTAAATTGGTATTTTCTCCAGGATTAACATCCTAATACTGAATAGCTGAACAATACACAGACTGGGCCTACTTGAACTAACTATACCATATATACCTATTCTTAATAACAGGATTCTGGTCAATGCTGTAAAATGACCCAAGATAGAAATTCAAGTGTGCCAAATAACTTAGCCTTCTTCAATGAAGTATAATCAGCATCTAATTTTATCTTATGGAAATCTCTTATGATAATCATAAGAAATTAGTATTCCTCAAATATTTTGTCTGAATCAATCTGTAAACAAACATAGAGAAAACTGTAAGCCAAGACAAGTAAGAGAAGATACACCTGTCGATATGATTTAAAAGTCCACTCTGGCAAAGAAATATACCAATAACTGGTCTCTACAAATATCCAAACAGTTCTAAGATATAAAGTCTTTTCTTTAGAGAAAGGATCTTTGATAAGAAAGCTCCAATAGTTAGCATACCAAACAGAAGCATGCTTTCATTTTTGTGCTTAACTATACATATTTAAAAGCCATGTAGCGCCGAAGCCGGTTTGGCTCAGTGGTTGAGCGTCGGTCTGTGGACTGAAGGGTCCCAGGTTCGATTCCGGGCAAGGGCATGTACATTGGTTGCGGGCACATCCCTTGTAGGGGGTGTGCAAGGGGCAGCTGATCGATGTTTCTCTCTCATCGACGTGTCTAGCTCTCTCTCTCTCCCTTCCTCTCTGTAAAAAAATCAGTAAAATATATTTTAAAATAAATAAATAAAAGCCATGTAGCAAATATTTTTAAAGCTCTGCCTAAATAATATGTATCTCATTGAACAAGCACAGTGCCATATAATAGGATCCCTAAGCAAAGGGAGACCTTTCTTTCAAGTATCCTTTTCTCTTTTTATTATTTATTTATTTATTTTTAATATATATTTTATTGATTTTACACAGAGAGGAATTGAGAGGGATAGAGTTAGAAACGTCGATGAGAGAGAAACATCGACCAGCTGCCTCTTGCACACCCCCACTGGGGATGCGCCCGCAACCAAGGTACGTGCCCTTGACCGGAATCGAACCCGGGACCTTTCAGTCCGCAGGCTGACGCTCTATCCACTGAGCCAAACCAGTTTCGGCCCTTTCTCTTTTTATATTCATCACTAGAGGCATGAAATCCGTGCAAGAATAGGGTTCCTAGGCCTGGCTGCTGATCAGGGCCGATTGGGGCCTTCCGGCTGCCAGCTGGGCCTTCCTTCACTCCACACCGCCCCTTGGTGGTCAGCACACATCATAGCAAGTGATCGAACTCCCAGTCTCCCAGTGGAACTCCTGAGGGGACATTTTGCATGTTAGCCTTTTATACATATGTGACCCTGCCCATGAATCCGTGCATAAGTAGCTCACTGCCACTTGCCTCAGCTGGCTACCCTGCCAACGGCTGCTCATAGCTGTTCACTGCAGGTAGCTCACTGCCCCACCCTCCTGTAGCTCTCTGCCACTTGTAGCTCACTGCACTGCCCTCCTGCTTATCTGTCATTACACGACAGGGTCCCAACCAATTTATATATTACCCTATTGTAAGTATAGATATTATAAGTATAGATAGATATGCATGGGTTGGTCTTATTTAAAAAGCAGCCAGGTGTTTACCTTCCTTGCTACCTTGCAAGAGGTCTTAAGAAACCAACACAAATCAGCTTTGAAGAAAGAGGACTCACATTTTTCATAACCTCTTTTACAACTAGCTTCAAGGACAGAAATGGAAAAACACTAGGAATATATTTTTAAACATAAGACTATTCTAATGAAATTGGATAAGGACACTTTAAGATACTAGAGAAGGAAAAAGAGAAAAGTGACAGAGCATTAAATTGATTCTGCACTCATTATTGGCACCACTAAAACACTTCATGTAGTCCATTAGCCATGACAGTACATTATGTTTGATTTGTCAACTATACCCCATAATTAAAGGGCTGTCAGTGTTATCATTATAAATGTCACTATAGTTTAACTGTAAATAGCTATAAAACCAGTAAGTACTTTAGTTGACTTTACTTCCTCTAATAATACTCCCTAAAATGCGCCTAGTTAAGAAACAGTAACACAAAGCATGCTTCATTTATTCAGACAAGCAGTAAAGGAATTCCAAGATTAATTTTAACTGTCTGTCCTTGTTTTTTCAAGCTTAAGTTGTTAGCCCTTTAATTTTATCTAATCATAACTATTTAAAACAAAAGCCTAGATTTAAAGGCCTGGAATAAATTCCAGACCTACCAGCATTTTCTACAAATTAGTTCAAGTTCTTTACTTCATTTCTATTTCATAAAGATATTTATCAACATTACTGAGTCAAACAGACTACAGTCAATCCACAGTTCATTTTCTTACCCTGGCATCTGTCAAAACAAACTAATTTCTCATCTAACCAATGGAGAACATAAAGTAGACTCCCAGTGGGTGCCTGAAACCGCAGATAGTACAGACCCTATATATACTATGTTTTCTCCTATATGTACAAACCTGTTAAATTTTAATTATAAATTAGGCACAGTAAATTATTAACAATAAAATAGAACTCTAACATTATACTGTAATAAAGGTTATGCAAATGTGGTATCTCTCTCTCTCTGCAATAATTTTTATATTTTCAGTCCAAGCCTATTCCTGAATCTGTGTAACCATCTCTTTACTTGTTGGGCATCCATTGTGTTCATATAGGCTTAAGGCTTCTGGTGCAACATTTGCTGTCAATTGGGATGTTTTCTGTTCATGTCTTCCGCCCATAAACTTAATGCTGTTTCCATCATAACATACACTGGCTATAACTTTTGCAGTCTGAGGTGCACAGCAAAACTAGCATCAATTTATTTTTCCTTCTTCACATTTTCACAAAGATGACTCATTCTTATTGTAATCATAGCAATTTCATCCTACTTTTTTCTTTCCTTATTAAGTGGAGAACTTTCACCTTTTCAGTTAACGGAAGCATTTTCCAGCTTTTCTTTGGCATGTCTGAATTGCCAGTATCACTATTTTTGCACTTTGGGTGGGATGAAGCAAGACTTCATCATATTGCTCAGAATAGCACACAATTTAAAATGTATCAATTGTTTATTTCTGGAATTTTCCATTTAATAATTTAAGACCACAGTTGATCCCACAAAGTAACTGAAACTGTGGAAAGCAAAACCTCAGGTAAGGGGGTCCACTATACTTACAGGGGGAACAAACCTGTAATTCAGCCTAGCTTCAGAAGTAAAGTTTTGTTTTGTTTAAACACAGGACTACAGCAGAAGTTAAATTTTTTGTATTTCTGTATGTATACATATAAATTCTTTTTTGTTGAAAGTATTATACATGTCCCCTTTCTCCCCCCATTAACCTCCTCCAGCCCCCAACCCCCACCCCCAGGCTTTCATCAGCCTATTGTCTGTGTCCAAGGGTTATACATACAAAGCCTTTGGTTGATTACCTCCCACCCACCCACCATCCCACGCTTTCCCTCTGAGATTCCGCACTCTGTTCCATGCTTCCATGTCTCTAGAGCCACTCTGGTCATCAGTTTATTTTGTTACTTAGATTCCAGATATGAGTGCGATCATGTGATACTTGTCTTTCTCTGACTGACGTGTGTGTGTGTGTGTGTGTGTGTGTGTGTGTGTGTGTGTGTGTATGTTTTCTTAAACCAATGCTACATTTTACACATGTTTATACTTATCCCCAGTGATTTCCAGCCAGGAGAACTTAAAGTCATTTAGGAATGAGAATGTAAACAAATTACTGCTATGCCATACTACTCAAATACATCTGAATACATAGTATTATTTAAAAAGCATAATGTTTTGGCTATTTAGTTCTTCTATTTTCACCTAAATGAAGGTGAGGAAACTTTATGGATAAGAGATGACTGCTTTACCAACAGGACATGTATTTTCTTTGCATCAACAACCTTCCCAACTACTAACCAGTGCAATAAAACTACAAAACTAGCTCTCAATAAAAAGTAGGAATATAACCTGATACCAATATCTTCTTTATTTTCTTCTTCATCAACTACTAAAAAAATCTCCAGTTCTCATCCTACTTCACTACTTTCCCACAATCAAATCAAATAGCTCTAAAACACCTAAGACTACAAGGTCATTTCATTACATGGTCCGGCAATTTAAATAACTACAATAGTTAGGGAAAAAAGGTATAAAATTTTACCTAATGTGAAGCTCCTGCTTTGTATAATAGCATATATAGAGACTAGGGAGTATTTCAATTTAAAGTAATTCTAATCACTTTTTGTTCAAACTAAACAAAGAAATCTAATCTAAATAAAAGCTTAGAAACCTAAAAAAATATGTCAGAAACTAGGCTGAAAACTGTGGAGCAAGCTGCCTTCTCCTTCCCCCTTCTTATCCTCTTCTCCCACCTTTTTGTCCCCTACAAGTTAACTACAAAATATTAAGTAACTAATTTGTACTTGCAAAGTAAGAGGATATTTCCATGTGACTTAAGAATGTCTGATGGGGGGAAACTTTGTTAGAGTCAAACTGGTAGCCTGGAAACAAAAGCCAACTATTGCATTAATTTCCTAGGAAAAACAAAATGAAAACTCCCTTTTTCTTAAAATAAGTATTCACTAAATTTTACTTATTTATTGAAAATATCCTATAAGTGTAGACTTTTAGAGCACAAATGAGCAAAATTGCTAATACGAAAGAATTTAAAGGTTGCTATGAACACTGTATTCTCCTAGTATAAAGTAAAAAAGCAAAACTGAGTTCCAAGTTTTATAAATATCTATGTCTGAAAGGTACAACTTGTTTGTAATGAAAAATTAGAACACTACACACTCACTAGAACATGGATTCCTTCTTTTTCAACTGGTGCTTTATCGTATGTAGCATCACAAACTCGAACCAAAGTTGTCACTCCATATTTCTTAAGTTCCTTTAAAGAAAAACAAATATAAGGTAACTTGCTTTTAGAATCTGCAACCAAAGCTTTAAAAATTTGCTCTTTTGAATTGAAACAATGAGACATCATTCTTCAATAAAAACCAAAATAATTCTCATTGTGACAACATATATAATGGACACGCTTGCACTCTCAGTAGAAATATCAGTAAGACTCACGTTTATAAAGGGCAATTAGTAGCATAACACAAAAACTTTAAAAGAACACATATACTTTGACCCAGAAATCCTACTTCTGGGAATTTTTACTAACAAAATAATTAAAGATATACACATTTAGGTGCCAAGCATGTTCACCACAGTTTGGAATGGTAAGAACCTAGAAACAAAATTAATGGTCTGAACAAGGGAATGGTTAAAGAAAGTATGGACCGGCCATACAGAATACTATGACAGTTATGAAAATAATACTAAGGAGGTTGGGGGAAGATTTATTTTAAATATATAGTATGATCCTATCTATATGTAGGATCACAGAAACAAACATTCAGGAGCCAAGTAAGTATTAACAGGTTTCTTTTTTTTAAAGAAACAATGTTTATTTTATTTTTTTAATTAATTTCAGAGAGAAAGGGAGAGGGAAAGATAGAAACATCCATGATGGGAGAGAATCGTTGATCAGCAGCCTCCTGATCTATTGGGGAAAGAGCTTGCAACCCAGGCATGTGCCCTGGACCGCAATTGAATCTAGGACCCTTCAGTCCATAGGCTGAAGCTCTATCCACTAAGCCAAACCAGCTAGGGCAACAATTAAGTATTTTTAAACTTTTGCTTATCTGTATCTTCTTACTTTTATTGGTACTTACTGTTCTTTTTTTAATTTAAGGAAACAAAAGTTATTTTGAAATTAAGATGAAAAAGTGGTATATTACAAAGCCAACTAACATACAAAATAATAGCAATTATAGCCAGAAGCCTTGCTCCTTTAAAAACTTTCCTACAATAATGCCTAATACAGAGACTACCTATCTTCAAGAGACCACCAATATCTTTTTACAGTTGCAGGAGGACAGTGACTTCTGCCACTTTTGGAATCTATGCCCAAGGAATCCACAGACTGAAAATAGTATCACATAATTGAAGCCAGGCTTAAAGGTGACTGATCAACCTGAGGGCACAAGCCTAGAATCAACTTGCACACTGTGCACACAAAGTGAAGGAGCTTAGGACCGATTAAGTATAAATAAGCAGGAACAGTGATATCCTATTTGGTTATCTAAAGAGTAAAGTTATTTTAATTGCTAAAGGACTTTCTTTTTCACAAAAAGCCTTCTTATAAAGTATGTTCAGGAAAGTATTATAACTAAATCAGTAATTTTAAGAAGTTTCAAGATACAAGTAAAATCCCATTGAAATGGACTTCATAGTAGCCATTCATTGGAAAGATATGGTATAATTTTTCATGGTAAATATTTGTGGCCTTAAGCAAGTCAAAACTTTTTTGAACTCAGTTTTGCCATCTGAAAAATGAGACAAGTGGATTTAGAATCCCTAAGAGTTCATCCAGCTAAGTCTACTCCATAAAATACATCAATAGAAATCACATTGAGACTGAACAACCAGGGAATGATTAAAAAGCTTATACTCATGTTTGTTGAGTAAAGTACATACTTTCTCCACTAACAACAGAAAAAATGAAGGACCTGACAAAAATGCAACCTATAATACCTTTCCCTCCCCTAAGTTTCTGAATCCTTGTATTGTATATGATGGCTACTATTGCAAGTAGTTCTGGGGTAGCTTTTCAACAAAATGGTTAGAATATTTGAAGTAGGATATTTGAGGTAGACATAGTTTTTAGTATCAGAGACAGTTCTACTATGTACTGTGTGCCTTCAGGCAAATTACTAAATTGCTCTGAATTTCAGTTTCCTCATCTGTAAGAGAGAGATAATAATAGTACCTATACCTTACAGGGTTATTGTGAAGAATAAATGACATATTGTATGAAATTGCTTACTGTAATGCAGGGTACAAAGTGTCTAATAAATGTTAATTATTTTTATTATTGAAAGTATGATCAGAAAACTGCTAATAATATAGAAAATATATAAGATCTCCTCAAATTCCATAAATATTCTTTTAAAAATCTGTTATAATGACCATCAAATCCCAATCACAGAAATAAATGGCTTTGTAATAAGAGATTTATTTATAATGGTGTTAATTTTAATGGGATTTTACCAATATATCAATCCAAAAGTACACCATACTATAATCTTACCTCTGTGAACTTGTTGAGGGTAGCATTGGTAGGGTTGTGAGTTATCAGAAAACGCATGTTCTCATAGGAGATCTCCACAGGGGCTGGACGGTTCATTATGGCAAAAAAAAAAAAAAAAAAAAAAGTGGGAGCGTGCGTGTGTGAGTGTGATGGGAAAAATGAAAAAAAAAATCAATAAATCTTGAAATGTTTCACAGCAGAAAACATTAAAAAGACCACTAAAATGCCTATTATCAATCAGTGTTTTCTCTATTCAACGTGTTTATTCTTTAAGTAGCTTCTCTCTTCAAGATAAGCAGAAGTATTCAGAATCCACTTGAATCAAATTCAACTTGGGCCTCAATGTCTGCAGATGGATACCTTCGGACTCCAAAAACATCCAACTACATATAAAACCTAAGCAGCCTTTACTACATTTAGGCACTAGTGAGACAAGTTAAAAGTGTAGATTATTTTCCACTTTTGTTTACTTGATGCTTAATTTTACTGGAGTCATTAAAAGAAATATGCTTGCAATAAAAAAAAAAAAAGCCAACTATTTCTGAGGCCAGTCTCGGTGTCCAGAGTCTTCAAGGCAATGTTAATTATGGCACATAGAACCCCCCAAGCTCACTTGTCAGCAAAAACGCTGTGCTGAGCCTGGCAGAAGTCTGCCCTCACACTCAGAATCGCCATAAATGTGCAACGTATATTCCAACGAAAAACCTGGAAGAGAAAAACATAAGTAAAATGAACTGGAGGTTGATAACATTCATAAACACAATGCTCAAAGTCAAGAACACATTCTTTATGAGCCTGAAGACATCTGAAATGTCACCAATTCTAAATTATTGCCATCTATAAAAAATAGGATAAAAGTATATACCACGAGTTTTAAAAGCTAGAGATTCAAGTCAAGCATGTCTTTCTTTTTTCAAAACAGGATCCCAGCAGCCAAGTTTCTGGGCTACAAGATTACTTTTAGCCCTGGCCAGTGTAGCTCAGTTGCTTGGGCATCATCCTGTGTGCTGAAAGGTCACAGGTTTGATTTCCATCAGGGCACATGCCCAGGTTGTAGGCTCATTCCCTGGTCCCCAATAGGGAGCATGCAGGAGGCAGCCAATCAATGCTTCGCTCTCAAATTGATTTTTCTATCTCACTCTCCCTTACTCTATAAAAATCAATTGAAATATTTTCTTAAAAAACATTATTTTTAACTGGCCAGTTACCTGGGGATTGAGCCATAACCCAGGCATGTGTCCTGGCCAAGAATCGAACCTGTGACCTTTTAGTGCATGGGACAACACTCAACAGAGCCACACCAGCCAAGACCACGAGTCACTTTTAAATTATTGAAAGATCCTTAAAGCAACCTTCCCTCCAGGACGCTTCATAAAGCTTACAATGATCTCCTTTTTCTGTTTTATGGTAAAGACTTCCAAATATACTCTTTGTTTGAAATAAGATAAATCTACAAATGGATAGAGGACATTTACCAAAACTCCAGTTTGAGGATTTAATTATTTCTATCTAAAATTGACCCCAATTAGGATACTATTCCATAAAGCACGTCCTTAAAAAATTATCTTCTTTTCCTCACAATTCTGAGATGTTACTACCTATGAGGAATGAGGAAAGAGGATCAGAAAAGTGACTTGTCTAAGGTAAATGAATTAGTTGAGCCCAAATTCTAAACCAAGTCTTTTGTTAGTTACGTGTTTTTTCCACTGTACCAGGTCAGCTGACTCAACCAATGTGTAAATCCCATCCTCACATTTTCTTTCTTTTTTTAAATATATTTTATTGATTTTTCACAGAGAGGAAGGAGAGAGAGCTAGAAACGTCAATGAGAGAGAAACATCAATCAGCTGCCTCTTGCACACCCCACACCGGGGATGTGCCCGCAACCAATGTACATGCCCTTGACCAGAATCGAACCCAGGACCTTTCAATCTGCAGACCGACGCTCTACCACTGAGCCAAACCGGTTTCAGCAATCCTCACATTTTCTAGTCCAGTTTACCTTTCTATTATTTCCCACATCACTACCTCTAAAGTACAAATGCATTTAAAGTTCAATTCACACAGCATTCTCCTGGCCAAATATGTATTAATCTCTACCAAAAACAAGAGAAGAAAAAGAAATGGCAGAATTTTAATATTATTTTAGGCCACTGCTATGAAACATAGTAATCTTTATAGCTGGTTCAGTCAGAATGTCAACATAATCATAACTTCCTCTGGAAATAGGGACAAAGTCAAGTTCTTTCACTTGCCTCTTTCTTAAGCCTCCAATAAATGCTTATTTAGAAATCCCTAAAAAAGATAATTGTGATCAAACAGAAAAAGACATAGAAGATAATGACCTTAGAACCATTTTCAGGAAGAAACTGAAATATAGATTAATTCAAGCCTATTCATCTATCTTCAGTCTTCATTTTATGATAGTCTAAAGGCATTTTATTTTGTAAGTTACATACTTGTGATGTTATCACCATGGACACGCACAAAACTAAAACATTCCTGAAATATGAATGACAGATAAATTCAAAATGGCATTCTATGAACATCAATAACTCAAAAGTTATCCACTACAGTAAATACACAAAACTTCTACACTCTAAGAAAAACAAAAACATACAACACTCTTCCCTTCCCCACCTTTTTAAAAAATATTTTTATTGATTTTCCACAGAGAGGAAGGAAGAGAGAGAGCGAGCTAGAAATGTTTATGAGAGAGAAACATCGACCAGTTGCCTCCTGCACACGCCCTGCCAGGGATGTGCCCGCAACCAAGGCACATGCCCTTGACCAGAATCGAACCTGGGACCTTTCAGTCTGCAGACCAACGCTCTATCCACCGAGCCAAACCAGTTTCGGCTTCCCCCCTTTTTTTAAATCCTTTCCCAAAGATATTTTTCCATTGATTTTCAGACAGTGGAAGGGGGAAGAGGGAGAGAAGGAAGGAGAATAAAGTGAGATCAACACATGATTGGTTGCCTCCCACACATGCTCCAGGCAGGCATCGGTTCCAACCAGCAACCCTTCAATCTTTAGACTGATGCTGTAACCACTGAGCAAAACTAGCCAGGGCAACACTCTTCCCAACTCATAATTCTAACTGTAACTCCAAAACACAGGCACCTTAGATTACAAAATTCATGCAGAGTATTCCTTGTACAGTCAAGGAAGTTTAAAGCTGAAGGGACAGGGAATCAACTACTCTGACCTTAAAAAAAAAAAAAAAAAAAAAAATGATGTTTGGGCTCGAGAGAAGTCAAAATAACAGGCAGATCAAAGACAACAGTCCAGGTCTACCAACTCTCTATTTATTTTTCCTTCAATTTTGCCTAATGGAGGTATCCACATATTTAAGTCATACTTTTTTTTTTTAATATATTTTATTGATTTTTTACGGAGAGGAAGGGAGAGGAATAGAGAGCTAGAAACATGGAGAGAGAAACATTGACCAGCTGCCTCTTGCACACCCCCTACTGGGGATGTGCCCGCAACCAATGTACATGTCCTTGACTGGAATCGAACCTGGGACCTTTCAGTCCACAGGCCTACCCTCTATCCACTGAGCCAAACCGGTTTCCTCTAAGTCACACTTTTTTTTTTTTTCATTAAGTGTAACTTTTCAAATATTTGTTTGGATGCTCATCTGCAACACTGTGACCTTATAATAAGGGGAGAAACTATTTAATAAGGTAACTACTCAAGGAACAATGGTTTGCATGCAGCACAGAGCAAAACACAAGGAAATTCTAACCTGTTTGAATCCCCTTGGTTTAATGATGTTATCACAGCTAACTGGTGTCACTTGAATAAAGGCACTGAAAGACCTGCATTGTAGTGATGTCCAGGCTTAAAAGTTACAGCTCTAGCATTACATTTTCTACCTAGTCTCCAGTGTTTGTCTGCTCAGCAAACAGAGCAAACTTTATCCCATCTTATTCCTCCCAAACTCATTTTGGAAGGACCACTTCCAGGGATAAGAATAAATTATTAGATTTTCAATTCTTAACCCCATACTGATATCCCCAGCAAAATAATTTCTGCCAAATGAAACAGTATGTTCTATCAAAGTTAACAAATACATGATAAAAGCAAGCTTCTGCTCCTTCCCTCATCCACAAGAGTTCAACTACACATAAACAGTTAAATGTTCTTGCACCTGTCAATTCAGATAACTAATGTTAATTCTTGTGGCATAAGAATACAAAGCAAACAGTCTACAAAAAAAAAAATCACAAGTGTACCGCAGCTGGAAAGTACTGTAGCATAAACTCAGCACCTGTACTCCTTACAGAAAAATCTTCTTCTAAAGTTCTCTCTCTGGCATAAATTATGCTCTATCTACTTAAGTAAAAATTGATTCTTGCTTTCATTTACCAGGTGATGGAAGAGGCTGTTTTTTGTTATTGTTAACCCTCACTGGAGGATATTTTTCCCAATGATTTTTAGAGTGAGTGGAAGGGGGATGGGAGGATGCGGGAGAAAGAGAAGCATCAGTGTGAGAGAGACATATCGATTGGTTGCCTCCATCGGGGATCAGCACACAACCAAGGTATGTGCCATTGACAGAAATCGAACCTGGGATCCACCAGTCCGCAGGCTGGCACTCTAAACACTGAACTAGCTAGGACAAGAGGTTGGTTTACTTGACAAATAATAGTGGCCAATTCAAATATGCATCTAAAAATGCTCTTTACCCTTTACTTTTATGGAACCTAACTTTTAAAATGTTGCATTTGGGACATTTCCATTTTTAACAACAAAACAAAAAAACACAGAACTTTACTGAAGGATTAGAAAGGATGGTCTGTGCCAAAATATTCTTTTAAATTAAGAAAGAAGAGAAGGAGCTGAAACCGGTTTGGCTCAGTGGACTGAAAGGTCCCAGGTTCGATTCCAGTCAAGGGCATGTACCTTGGTTGTGGACACAACCTCTGTGGGAGGTGTGCAGGAGGCAGCTGGTTGATGATTCTCTCTTATCGGTGTTTCTAACTCTCTATCCTCTCTTCCTCTCTGTAAAAAAATAAAAAAAATATATATATATATATATATATTTTTTTTTTTAAAGGGAAGGAAGAAAGAGAACAACGAAAGAAGAACAAAGAAAGAGGGGGCTGGAAGAACAGCAAGTAAGCAGAGGCCTACCAAGCTGAGAGTGCACTGCCAATAACAGTAGGTGAATAACACAAGTCAAACCTCAATTCTCAACGTCTCCGATCTCAAACAATTCGCTTCTCAACCCGACAAACCTTTATACCTGTATGATCAACCACCTTACTCTTAGGTGACAAACAAGGATTTTACTACTATACATTTCATTTCCTTTTTAAATTTTCATTTACATTTCATGTCTTTTTCTTTGAGGTGTCTATTTATAAATTAAATAGTACATTAAACATGTACTGTATATAAGGTGAAAACGGAATCATTTGGGGTCTGGAACAGATTAATTCAATGTACATGATTTCTAATGGGAAAAAATGCTTTGGTTTTTGAACTTTCCAGAACAAATTAAGTTCAAGAACCGAGGTTGTTAAGAGTTCAAATGTCTAGGGTCAACCCTCTACTGCTAATATTGACCTAGATGAGAATCAAAAACTACAATCCATGAAATACAGTAAGCCCTTGATTTTGCTGACCTCAATTTAATGGACTTCAGAATTAACAAACAAAATTTCCAGTCCGTATGTCATATTTAAAATTAACAC